AGATGCACAACACAGATAGAATACCAGTCATGGTTTGTTAACTCTTCACTGATTGGCCCATCTATATATAGTGACCAATCAAACGGCTGTCCTGTAAACAAATCGAGATTCCACATGCTGAAAGTAAAATATCTAGGGTTTTTAACACTACAAACAGAAAACAACTTCATTAGAGGACTGCTAGATGAAAGAATAAGCAAGTGCCAGTGATATCTTAAAAGAACTTGTAACACTAGCTATTCGCGGCATGGAAGTGAAACACCACGGGAACAAGGTTTTGAAAAAACTGTGAAAACATGGCAGTTATATCATGTAATAGCGATCTTGGTATCTGTTTATACACCTAAATGGATGTAGACTAAGGCATATATTATTTCTTATAGACTGACTGACTGACTGACTGAGTTTAGTTTTACGCCGCTTTTAGCAATATTCCAGCAATATCACGGCGGGGGACACCAGAAATGGGCTTAACACATTGTAGCCCATGTGGGGAATCGAACCCGGGTCTTCGGCGTGACGAGCCAACGCTTCAACCACTAGGCTATTTCTTATAGAAAAAGTGGATAAAACTGTATTAGCTATTAGCTATAATTTAGCATTATTAGGTCGCACCTCTTAAACTTGTTACCAGGATTGTAAAATTATGGTGGGTTTCAAAAAGTATAGATACCCACTTGAAATTGGAAATACCCACTTAAAGTACTGTCGGAAATAGAAAAAAAACCTGTTTTTAGGCTGTTACTCTTTATCTCTAAAATTGACACATTTACAAATAGCAAATAGTATATCGAAATAACCCACATCGGCCTAACTGGGCATTCAGTGGGATGCGTAATAGTATATCCAGAAAAGCATGTTAACTCGTAAAATCGGGCAAAACTTAGAAAAATACGAATAGCTACTCAAAACAATAGATCAGACTATAGATGGCAATTAGGTCGCTCAGCCAGGTATGACGACGGACCGTCGACTCACCTGGCATGAAATGCACGTGCTGCCTACAGGCACAAGGGGTCATCTCAAAGATATTTTATGCTTTTTCATGTGTGCTGAATATGTCTCATCAGTGTTTCCGTTCTCCGGTATATACCTAAAAATCGCCGGTAAAATTTGTTGGAGACCGGTAAATTGAAAGCCAGCAGGACACTGTGTCCGGTAAATAATCATGTATTAAAATAAAAACATCATGGGTAAGCGAAATGACAGTCTTGGCTGTGCTTTCATGGTCACAAAAACTGTTATGCTTTGGAAATACCCAGGCTAAAAATAACTTTAAAATGAGTACCTACAGTATGGCAATAGGATATAACCGGCAAATTTCATTCATGACCGGTAAAATTTTAGGTCACCAGACACAGTGTCCGATAAATAATGAAGTCAGCGGAAACACTGCTCATCTATTGATCATAAAGTTTATGTTGAGATATGTAAAAGGGTATGATACCCATGGAAAAGCTTAAATCGCCATCATATTAAATGTCTCAAAATATATAAGTGGCATGACCACCCGAAGATCGACAGGACTGGATATTATTTGTAAATTGTTATGACATGCCGTTTGCTTCCCAGTTTAATTTCCCTAAAGGATTATCTTATCTCAGCTTATATCTCTATCCCCCAGCCCGGCCCCAACCACCCTCTGCGACACCCGTCCTGGATTTGCTTTTGAGACGACCCCTCCTACCTGTTTCTTTTTATAGTGAGAGTGTTTGTAACATAATATCATCGCACACTAATTAGCATATAGCCATGGTCTGTTCCAAATAAGTCGATATGGACTTACAAAAACCCCGCATTTCTCATTTCTGCACTAATCTCTCCTCAGTAAAGTCCTTTTTCTACGTTTCCAATCCCCCTACCACTGAGACTTTAGTTAGGCCGAACTTAGTTTAACAGATATTTCACACTTACACATATTAACTACATAAATTATACATATCAATGCAAAAAAACAGTTTTGTTCTATTTCCGACAGTACTTTAGTTTCAAAAGTATGGGTATCATACTCACATAACCAAAGCTTATCTGGAGTTATGGGACACCACATTTGTTTCAAAAATAACCAGTAGTTATTCATAACATCAAGTGACTTTCAATTTATTTTCTTCTTAATTAATCAAATCAGCCCTGACAACATATATTTACAATCTTCTTGTTTCAGTTTTCAAATGGTTGTCAGGCAGATTGCAAGAGTTTGTGTTTTGGCAACATGCTGACACTGGGACAGAATTGTAATGAATCCTAGTAGACCATGCCTTATCACAACCAATGATAGGCTTGACACAGCGGTGTGAGCATGGCCAGGAAATGTTGTTTTGTGATAATTGCCAAGCAAATACAGCAAAAATCAGATAAACACAACTTTGTTTACAAATAAAAACTGAATGAAGCAGATAAATATAACATTTCATCTTGAACCATTTACATATAATCATAACGAAATACCATATACACAACGAAAATTGTTCGAAATAGCCACTGGCCCACTAGCCTGTGGCTAGTAAAAATCCAGTCGGGCCAGTAAATCTCCACAGTCACTGGCCCGACTGGCTAGTGAATTTTCATGGGGTCATTTTGTAAATACATACATGTATATCACTCTCTCTGACTTGTTAAGTTATAAAAATACACTTTTAAATCACGCAAAATTATGCCCTGATAAAAATGTTCATCATATTAGCAGCTTAATGATGAAACCCATGCCTACATTCAAATTTCGGGCCATTGAATAATTTTGTGGGCTAGTAACTTTCAGGCATAGCTAGCCTGTCTGGCTTGCAAATTTGGAAACTATTTTGCACACTGCACAACAATCAATTTCTAGTTGTTCAACTTTACATCATAATAAAGAGTGGTTATATAACTTCCTCCTGATAATGCACAACTTCATTGAGCTAAGGCTGTTGGATATTTTATAGCTAAATAACATGTTGTACAAGCAAACTACAAATATTTCTTAGTAAAGTTATATAAACAAACAAGTAATCACATTAAGCAAAATATTCATCTATACTTGAGATGATATCTATCATAAAATCAGTGCCAACATGTGGAGATTATCAGCTGAGTGCATTGACATTTCAAAAATATCTAAAATAAATGGAACAGAAAAATACTTCTAATTCCAAATATATGATATCCCACTCCCAATCCCAGGGTCAGTAGTTGTCGACGATGTAAGACAAAAACGTAACTTTTATCTTTAATATCATTTAAAGTTTTTATTTTACTAACCTTGAGTGATAAAGGAAATATTTATCTATTTCCCGCAAAATATCAAGTGTTTCCCAGAAAAATAGAGTTGATGACATCTTTTCGACAAAACTGTTGCTGTTCCCCACATACGGGGATTTTGTATGGGTTTTCAACAATAAGCCATACTTTTCGCTCCGCACTGTGAGGGAGTGCAGGGGCGGATACAGCTTTTTGAGGGGGTGGGGGTGTGTGTGTGTGTGTGTGTTTGTCACACTATTGAGAAAAGGAGGGGTGCCCATTTCATTTTCACCCGAGTTTCAATGGTCATTTAACAAACTTTCAGCACCAAAGGGGGGTGCACACCCCTGCATCCCCACTCTGGATCAGCCTATGGAGTGTTGTGATCATGTGGCTTCCTATTTATATATTGCCTGTCAGAAGCAGACGACTGATCTTACTGAATTTTCGCCTGCTATTCCTTTTTATATAGGCAATTGATTTTGCATCTAAAGTGGTAATTGGTATTAACAATCTCAGGTAAATAATATCGACGCTTCTTCGCTTTTTATATAACTTAACTTCCAGATTTCCATTGTCAATAAAACTTCTCACGACAGTGACTGGGCATCCGCCCTACCGATGAAACTGCTTGTGCACGTACTCCCCCAATATAGAGCGAGCAATGCAATCGTCGAAATCACCAGAACGTCAAATTCAGCTCATTTCGGGATATAGCCAGTAAATACACATAGGTATAGATCTCTTCATTATATGATGCCATTCTCAGATAACTGAAGATTAATCCATACCTTCATGCACTGACCATGCACTGAAGTAGATTTAGATACAATGTCCACACGAACCTCCCCATTTGTTAAACAATGCCAAATGATTTACAAATGTTTACACAGATCTTCAGACATTGGAAAATCTCAATCCAAACATTTTTGGGAAATTTTGGGAGTAGGGCGATATGAATTGACGTGTTTGAGTGTCTTATTATGCATATTGTATTCATAACCTAATCCTCAATATGATAAGACTTGTCATGAGTGGGAGCCATGTTGAGATAGGTAAAGTACATTGTATTACAATCTCTCTCTTTAGCAAGGCATTTAAATAGACTGTTCACAGGTGTAGATAAATGATCGTACCATTAGTACTTTTGTGAATAATCCCACTATGACCAAAATAACATCACGCTACCAACAGAAATCATTAAATTAAAAAAACAAAACACAATTCACTTAGTCGGTAATAAAACAATTCAGTTATTCCGTAACAGACAATTGTCCTGACAATACATTACATCTCATCTCTCACACGATCGACCATAAACAGCGTGTCCATTATATCTCTAAGAGAAGTATAAGTCATGGAGATTTAAAGTAATATCTTTGTTGTTGTTACTTCAACGGCAACAAGTAAATCCGTGAATACCACAACACTGTCAACAGGCAAGATTGGCTGGCCTCACAAATAATTGAGACGGTAGATTACCGTGTAGTCAACATTTTGCGAGAATACAATTCAGTTAACACCTTCAAACATTCCGTTAGTCCACCTCATGCTTGCCGTTGTATAAACACCACACGTAACAATATACAATCACAAACACGAACAGTTATCGCCGATTCACGATCAACAGTGGCGACCGTCCAGGTTGATGAAACACCTGTTAAACGTGTGATAAATAACACATTATATATAACATATTCTCATCTCAGACAGTGAGACGATTGCTTGTGTTTATAAATTGATAAGAATGCTGAAATATAACATTCAATCATTATTTTACTCACAGAAAAGTACTATCGTATTTGTCCCACACACGAAAACGTAGCACGTCGCCATCTTTGTATGCAAATCAACACGGAAATGATGAGGACGCCTACCGAGGGATCGTCCATTCTTTTAAAACACCACAAGAAACGGCAGATCCACTTCATTTGTAAATGAGGTTTGAAAAAGACTCCCCTGTGCCTTTTCAAATATGCAAACAAGCAGTAATAGAAATGTACACCAGAAACACACATAAACCGTGTCATCGTTTATATCCATTGTATGAACAATTCGAAAGATACAAACGGTCCCCGATAAAAATAAAAGGTAGATGTGGAAACGTGTAAACATTATCCTGCTTCTTACTATTAGTCCATTCTGGGGTTTTACAAAGTAAATGTTACCGTCACTTGATTCCAGCTTTCTTTTCATCGTAGTACGGATAGGTTAGCCTCTAGAAATGTCCCAGGTGACTTGTCATGTTCATTAATCGATGTGCGGGAGAGATAGAGAGAATAACTTATTCATGCCTTTGATTTATACTGCATGAGGGCCGTCCCTCTATTATATGGTCTCTAATATTACAAAAAGACTGTCATTCATAAATACTCCATGTCATGTGAGCCAATATATCGACTTCTTCAAGTTTGAGAATAGTTAAGGTTGAACATATCAAAAGTACGTAAATAAATTAATAGTTCTTCCAGAGACCACATACCGATATGGTATATGATATGGTCTCTGGTTCTTTCAGATAAATTATCTTAAATCACTCGGATTTCCTGTTGTTTTGCAATCTCAGTTTACCAAATTGGCTGCAAACTTGCAGACAGTATGACAGCCATGTTATACAATCTACTCTAGTTAAGCCGTTAATTAGCACACGTTACCTGTAACAATATGTGTGGTGGAATAGTCTCGTGACAACAGTTTACTATGGTGTGGTTGGGAATTTTAGGAACGCTTCTGATGTAGTGGATTTCTCACTCAATGTGACGTTTCGGGACGTTTCACCTACGTACGAGTCACCACATTTGCATTGCATGTGGTAGACAGCACCTGAAGGATCTTCTTTGTTTCTTATTGTAGCTGGTTTGCCAGTTGCTTGTAAAGTACGCTGAATTGATCTGCCTCTCTGAGTGAGTGAGTGAGTTTAGCTTTACGCCGCACTCAGCAATATTCGAACTACATGTATATGGCGGCGGTCTGTAAATAATCGAGTCTGGATGAGCATGAGCATCGATCTACGCAATTGGGATACGATGACATGTCAGCGAGCCTGACCACCCGATCCCCTTAGTCCTGCCTCTCTGAAACACATCTGTGTTGGCTTGCTTCTTTAGCAGTTTGCGGATATGATGGCTGGTTGTATATCGACGTGTGGTATGTTGATGATGAACGCTGCTAACGTGGTGGTTTCTCTTGGGTTGAGGATGGTCTTGGTGACTGGTTGTATCGACGTGTGGTATGCTGATGATGAACGCTACTAACGTGGTGGTTTTCTCTTGGGTTGAGGATGGTCTTGGTGACTGGTTGTATCGACGTGTGGTATGCTGATGATGAACGCTGCTAACGTGGTGGTTTCTCTTGGGTTGAGGATGGTCTTGGTGACTGGTTGTATCGACGTGTGGTATGTTGATGATGAACGCTGCTAACGTGGTGGTTTTCTCTTGGGTTGAGGATGGTCTTGGTGACTGGTTGTATCGACGTGTGGTATGCTGATGATGAACGCTGCTAACGTGGTGGTTTTCTCTTGGGTTGAGGATGGTCTTGGTGACTGGTTGTATCGACGTGTGGTATGCTGATGATGAACGCTGCTAACGGGGTGGTTTTCTCTTGGGTTGAGGATGGTCTTGGTGACTGGTTGTATCGACGTGTGGTATGCTGATGATGAACGCTGCTAACGGGGTGGTTTTCTCTTGGGTTGAGGATGGTCTTGGTGACTGGTTGTATCGACGTGTGGTATGCTGATGATGAACGCTGCTAACGGGGTGGTTTTTCTCTTGGGTTGAGGATGGTCTTGGTGACTGGTTGTATCGACGTGTGGTATGCTGATGATGAACGCTGCTAACGGGTGGTTTTCTCTTGGGTTGAGGATGGTCTTGGTGACTGGTTGTATCGACGTGTGGTATGCTGATGATGAACGCTGCTAACGTGGTGGTTTTCTCTTAGGTTGAGGATGGTCTTGGTGACTGGTTGTATCGGACGTGTGGTATGCTGATGATGAACGCTGCTAACGTGGTGGTTTTCTCTTGGGTTGAGGATGGTCTTGATGACTGGTTGTATCGACGTGTGGTATGCTGATGATGAACGCTGCTAACGTGGTGGTTTTCTCTTGGGTTGAGGATGGTCTTGATGACTGGTTGTATCGACGTGTGGTATGCTGATGATGAACGCTGCTAAGCGTGGTGGTTTCTCTTGGGTTGAGGATGGTCTTGATGACTGGTTGTATCGACGTGTGGTATGCTGATGATGATGAACGCTGCTAACGGGTGGTTTCTTAGGTTGAGGATGGTCTTGATGACTGGTTGTATCGACGTGTGGTATGCTGATGATGAACGCTGCTAGCGTGGTGGTTTCTCTTGGGTTGAGGATGGTCTTGATGACTGGTTGTATCGACGTGTGGTATGCTGATGATGAACGCTGCTAGCGTGGTGGTTTTCTCTTGGGTTGAGGATGGTCTTGATGACTGGTTGTATCGACGTGTGGTATGCTGATGATGAACGCTGCTAACGCTGCTAAGCGTGGTTTTCTCTTAGGTTGAGGATGGTCTTGATGACTGGTTGTATCGACGTGTGGTATGCTGATGATGAACGCTGCTAGCGGGGTGGTTTTCTCTTGGGTTGAGGATGGTCTTGATGACTGGTTGTATCGGCGTGTGGTATGCTGATGATGAGCGCGCTGCTAAGCGTGGTGGTTTTCTCTTAGGTTGAGGATGGTCTTGATGACTGGTTGTATCGACGTGTGGTATGCTGATGATGAACGCTGCTAAGCGTGGTGGTTTTCTCTTGGGTTGAGGATGGTCTTGATGACTGGTTGTATCGGACGTGTGGTATGCTGATGATGAACGCTGCTAGCGTGGTGGTTTTCTCTTGGGTTGAGGATGGTCTTGATGACTGGTTGTATCGGCGTGTGGTATGCTGATGATGAACGCTGCTAAGCGTGGTGGTTTCTCTTGGGTTGAGGATGGTCTTGATGACTGGTTGTATCGGCGTGTGGTATGCTGATGATGAACAGCTGCTAACGGTGGTGGTTTCTCTTGGGTTGAGGATGGTCTTGATGACTGGTTGTATCGGCGTGTGGTATGCTGATGATGAAGCGCTGCTAAGCGTGGTGGTTTCTCTTAGGTTGAGGATGGTCTTGATGACTGGTTGTATCGGCGTGTGGTATGCTGATGATGAACGCTGCTAACGTGGTGGTTTTCTCTTAGGTTGAGGATGGTCTTGTGACTGGTTGTATCGGCGTGTGGTATGCTGATGATGAGCGCTGCTGCTAACGTGGTGGTTTTCTCTTAGGTTGAGGATGGTCTTGATGACTGGTTGTATCGGCGTGTGGTATGCTGATGATGAAGCGCTGCTAGCGTGGTGGTTTTCTCTTAGGTTGAGGATGGTCTTGATGACTGGTTGTATCGACGTGTGGTATGCTGATGATGAGCGGCTGCTAGCGTGGTGGTTTTCTCTTGGGTTGAGGATGGTCTTGATGACTGGTTGTATCGGCGTGTGGTATGCTGATGATGAGCGCTGCTAGCGTGGTGGTTTTCTCTTAGGTTGAGGATGGTCTTGATGACTGGTTGTATCGGCGTGTGGTATGCTGATGATGAACGCTGCTAACGTGGTGGTTTTCTCTTAGGTTGAGGATGGTCTTGGTGACTGGTTGTATCGGCGTGTGGTATGCTGATGATGAAGCGCTGCTAGCGTGGTGGTTTTCTCTTGGGTTGAGGATGGTCTTGATGACTGGTTGTATCGACGTGTGGTATGCTGATGATGAACGCTGCTAACGGGTGGTTTTCTCTTGGGTTGAGGATGGTCTTGATGACTGGTTGTATCGGCGTGTGGTATGCTGATGATGAACGCTGCTAACGTGGTGGTTTTCTCTTGGGTTGAGGATGGTCTTGATGACTGGTTGTATCGACGCGTGTGGTATGTTGATGATGAACGCTGCTAAGCGTGGTGGTTTCTCTTGGGTTGAGGATGGTCTTGATGACTGGTTGTATCGGCGTGTGGTATGCTGATGATGAACGCTGCTAGCGTGGTGGTTTCTCTTGGGTTGAGGATGGTCTTGATGACTGGTTGTATCGGCGTGTGGTATGCTGATGATGAAGCGCTGCTAACGGGTGGTTTTCTCTTAGGTTGAGGATGGTCTTGGTGACTGGTTGTATCGGCGTGTGGTATGCTGATGATGAACGCTGCTAGCGTGGTGGTTTTCTCTTGGGTTGAGGATGGTCTTGATGACTGGTTGTATCGGCGTGTGGTATGCTGATGATGAGCGCTGCTAGCGCGGGTGGTTTTCTCTTGGGTTGAGGATGGTCTTGATGACTGGTTGTATCGGCGTGTGGTATGCTGATGATGAGTGGCTGCTAGCGTGGTGGTTTCTCTTGGGTTGATGGGATGGTCGGTGGTGGTGACTGGTGGTTTCTCTTAGGTTGAGGATGGTCTTGATGGCGTGTGGTATGTTGATGATGAACGCTGCTAACGTGGTGGTTTCTCTTGGGTTGAGGATGGTCTTGATGACTGGTTGTATCGGCGCGGTGGTATGTTGATGATGAACGCTACTAACGTGGTGGTTTCTGACTGGTTGTATGCGTGTGGATGATGTCGCTACTAGCGTGGTGGGTTGTTTCGAGGATGGTATTGATGGTTGTAACGACTACATGATGATGATGAGCAGCTGCTAAGCGTGGTGGTTTTGGGTTGAGGATGGTCTTGATGACTGGTTGTATCGGCGTGTGGTATGCTGATGATGAACGCTGCTAGCGTGGGTGGTTTTCTCTTGGGTTGAGGATGGTCTTGATGACTGGTTGTATCGGCGTGTGGTATGCTGATGATGAAGCGCTGCTAAGCGTGGTGGTTTCTCTTGGGTTGAGGATGGTCTTGATGACTGGTTGTATCGGCGTGTGGTATGCTGATGATGAGCGCTGC